CGTCTGCTTTGCATTAATATCAGAGCTTTTTGCTTTCAGCTTCTGTCTTCTCTTCTGTTTAGTGTCGATGTCTTCTTCTTTTTCCTACTTGTTAATAGCTAAACATTTATACTTCCAGATATTCTTATAAAAAAAATTCTATGCTAAATTTACTGCCATTTCTACATAATTTTTCGCTTCTTTCAGTGGCCTTATAATGTTGAGTAACTTTATGAAGATCTTCTCTTAGATTAGGCCCTTAAGAAAACCAAATCTTGTTCTGATCCTCTTTTTCCTTGTTGGGCCCCATAGCATGTTTTTGAGTTGGACCTTGTTAAACTGCCTTCTTGTTTTTGTGAACAAAACTGCCCAAGCTAAATTTGATATAGTTTGCTCTAATTTATTCTATTTTCCTTATACTTCTCATATCTTGTTAGATGGGCTTGGTCTTTCTCTTAATTTTTTTCACAAGTTATGTAGCAAGAGCTTTCATATAGGTCTGGTTTTCTACTAGCCAAAGTTTTTAGCACTAGTAATCTTTCATATAGACATTTGATCAATACCCCTAACTGTTGGTTCTTTTTTGAGCTAGTACATCTAATTCCACTCTGACTTCTAATTTTTCTCCACAAGATCAGCCAGTGATTTATCTCTGCTATATCATCTGATTCTTCTTTCTGTATTGCAGTTAATGTTCTCTAATCTAAGCTTATTTGGAAACAAAAAATTGTTTGTATGAAATATCTTGTCAGACCTTTTACTGTTTTGTTTTCCCAATACAAAGAGAAGTTTGACTCCTGGGGGTTTCTCTACTATCTAATGGTAGTAAAATAATTGCACTCAGACCAGTAGTTCCTAAGATAGTTATATCTGAAGTTAGTTAATTTTTATTTACTTTTAAAAAAAACTACTAGTTCGATTTTACTACCATTAGAACCAGAAAGGCCTGAACAACTTTATTAAGATCAAAAGGAAGGTTTTCTTAATAACAATACCTTTTCCAGAGCACGTTTATTAAATTTTTTATGTGGCATTAGCAAAAATGGGGTGGAAATAGCAATTCCCCAAATTTATTATAAGTTTTATTATGCAAGTCTAATCACATAATTACTAGATGCAGAGTTTTCTATTTAGCATTATAATGTTAAAACTAAAATATAAATTTTAGTTTTTATTTATATATCTTCAACTGCATGTGAATCATAACCTTTCTATTATATCTATTATAATTGACCTGGTTTGCGGGTACTGTTTCTCCACGACTATATAAGCGAGTTTTTTGTGGTCGTCCTGCCTGTCTGATTATAAGAGATGGCAAATTTTATATCAAAAACTTGCATCTAATATAATGGTTACAAATGAATTTTAAAAAATACGCCAAAAATTTGCGTTGAGTCAAGAAACAATTCTACAGTGCAGATAATAATTCACAATTATTATCAATTTTGGGCCCTTATTTGTAAATTCCCCTTATTCTTATGCACCATAGCAATATTGAATAAAAATCATTCGACACTTTCTGTGTGTGTGAATACTTTGCTATTTTTTTTAGATTTGCATACCTAAAGTATTGTTTATTCAACGAAGTAGGGGATCTCTCCAATGATCCTATGACCATTTAATGGAAAATACTTATTTCTGCGAGTGATACGAACCATAAAAACTTTTAGAACATTAGGAGTGAGTTAGAGATTGTTAGTATTTATGGTTATAGAAAAATATCAATTTCCTGTAAGTAAAATTTCATTATTGTCATATCAGAAACGCAACGAGATTCATCCCGTTTCACTGACAGTTATTCACCGATTTTTAATTCTAACCAACACTAACTTAAAGTCGGCTAACTCTAACTGTAAATTGGGCCAACTTTAATTGTCGATAAAATAGTCGTTGGGAAGAAAATCCATCGATGTTTTTTTTTACATCCAACTCTGCGTAACCGATTAAGTCAATTTGCAAATTTCGACTTTCAACAAATTTAAATACTAATGCGCACAAGCTCGTTGTTACGGAGATTGCATCTTTTAAAAACCTTATAATTTGGTTCAAACAACGCCCATGTACGTATCGGAATAACGTGCACTTATATAATAAGTATTGACATGCACATTAGGTCTAAAATTTTGATATCTTATTTAGAAATAACACATATAGTTGCTTCAAAATAATAAAATAAAGCGCAGAGTACGTTATTCGCGACTATACTATAGTATATGAACTATCTAAAATTCCATTCCTTACCTGCCCACCAATCAACATCTTTGCTATGTAAAAGCACAAGACAGTATTGGAATAACTGTCGTTGCAATCCCCATTCAGGATCCATGAGTCAAAAGTGGACTTAGAGCGGAAAATTCAGTGTAGCTTTTGATGTTCTTTAATAATATTTTCTATGCTTTTAAAATTGCACATTCTCTATAGGAATGATTAATTGCAAGAATCCGCAGTTCTGAAATCTCTTGTTTACTATATCTTTGCATGATATCTTTGTGCATCATTTCAACAATTTGGCACAAAAACCTTCATCCTTAATAGGCGATGGGTTTCAATAAAGACGTGATAAACGCAAGATCTTTCTATATATGGTTTTTCACAAAAACTTATGCCAATATCAGAAATTGCTTTTGGAAAGATATCACTTTTTAAAGATATTTACACT